ATGAAAAATAGGAATGTGGACATAAGAATACAAATGTCGACCATGGGCATCCTCAGTCCTGAAGAAAAGGCCCACCATAGTATGATAAAAGACAATATTGGAAAAGGGGAAAGAACTAAGAAGTGACTGAGGTGGGACAGATCAATCACAAAACTCTAATCTGTATCAAGAAAACACCACTAATGGACAAACTCTTAGATGTAGGACAGATAAATGATAGGAAGTGGCCAAACATGGAAACATGAATAAAGAATGCGGTGGCCAAAGATACAAACAAGCAATCAATAATCAAAAAATCGAATGTTGCAACACAGATACCTCACCTGATGCTAAAGTCACAGGAGTAACCCCCCCCCCCAAAAAAAAAAGGACCAGTGGAGGGAAGTGACATCCATAAGTTCCGATTAGGAATGGAAGGGAAATGAACTTGGTACAAGACAGTGTCCCGCCCCAGAAGATCCCAAAGATTCAGAAAGAAGATGTATGGCAGCCAATACCAGTTAGAGGAGAAAACAATGACTGGAAAACTTGGCTAAAAAGAAAGTGATAGGATTAACAGATTCTGCCACCTTAACAAGCAACAGAGAATCGAGGTGCAGAGAAGAAAGAAAACAAAAGAATCTACCTGATGGTAAGTTAAGGCATAATGAACCAAAGCCCATGGAGGGTGAGGCATGCCAGCACCATCTCTCAGAAGAAAGATAAGAAGGCCCAGCATGAACCAAAATGTCTCGAAAAGGAGGGAAAAAGAAAAAACAACAACTCTGAAACATGTATAAAAGGGCTGAGGTAGGCCTAGCAGACTCCGCAGCAGAGGCCTGGGAAGGCCAATACAGAATCAGGTGAAGGAAAATTGTCAAAACAGACATAGTCTCAAATGAAGGCTTGAGGAGGAAGGTGAGTAATAGTAGGAGAAGGTTGGGCAGACCACATACCCAGGGGGCCTCAAAAACGAAATTAATTGTAAGAAGTATAAAATATAATTAATTACAAAAATGAAAAAGTTGTTATATTGTAAAATTAAGTAAGCATATATTGACAATAAAATTCAAAAGATGGTATTTGTTGATGAAACAATATACTTCACCTAATTTATGATTTACCAGTAAGATGAATGATAGGTAAGCCTAAAATTAAAAAGACACAAGTTAAGCCTAAAATAACATAGGATATCACTAAACATTAGTTAAAAACCCTAACCTTACAAGAAGTAGGTACAAATCTAACGTACGTTACTTAAATCAAGTAACTACAAATAATAATATTAATATCAAAATATTCAAAAAGCTATAACAGTATAATAGCTTATTGATCCCAAGTCGGCAGACCCAAGTTGTGGGCCACCAAACTGAATGTCCGATGAGGGTCAACTCATATAAGGATAAATCTCCCAATGTATTCAAGCTGACAATTCCTCAATCAAGTACTGTCACCTGAAGCCTCGGTAACTGTGCTGGAAGTAAATAATAACATCTTCGAATTGCAAACATAAGCTTTGGTGAAAATAAAAAAAAGTTAAGAACAACAAAGGTAAGTTATCACTTTAAACATGTAAAGTGAAGTAGAAAAAAAAAAATCTCCACTTCGTACGAAATTAAAACAAAACACAGGAAGAGAGCAGAAACAAAAAATGTCTTGACGATAGCACTACCAAACGAGAAGTGATAGTTCAATAGAATCAAATAGAGGGAGTCACATGCATCAGGAAGGTAAGTCCCACTCCTACTGGTGGAGAGTTGTCGCATGATGACTTGCATGCAAGACGCAGTTGAACATTGTTTATCTCGGGGTAACATGGGAGCTCAAAGCTTGTGGCATGAAAAAATTTTGCATATAGGGGGCAGCACTGAACGAAAATAGCTATTTATGTGAATGGAGATAATTTACCTTATCGGAATTGTGTCATATGCTCTCTCAGTCCTCCCTCTTCTCTAATATATTTACAACCCCTGTAAGAAGTATGGAATTTAACATGAATTACTTATAGTATAGATATTACACAGGCAAGGTATAAGTTTTATAACATTTGATCTTATTTGTTTATGGAGCCATAAACTAGAAAGTCAGACTCACTTGCCATGCCTACCTGTCACATCCTCTCTTTCAAAAATTGCCAATAGTTCTCTCTGTTGCTTTATACTATATTATATCTGACCAATAAAAAGCCAACACATTAATCCATCAAATGATATATTACATTACATTGTTTTCTGTACAGGGCACTGTCTATTTCATCATTCACTTTCACATTTTTTTTCTCACAGGAATCACACTGACAAACTTAGTTAAATTTTTAAAGGCTCTTATCACATTGTTAAAAAGCCAGAAAATGTATGATAGTTATAGGACATTATTTACTTTTTGCGTATTAGTATTCTGTGTTCTTAAGTGCATTATTTAATTGACTCTTTCACTACAGGCTTGGTCCCAAGGATTGACCTGGTAACTATTTTGTGCTTGTTATAGTTTTCATACTATAATTTTTAATACAGTAGGCATACCTTAACAAAATTTAGCAGGTTTTCATTAAACATAACAAGGCTTTTGTATACAAAATATCAGAATTTTTAATAAAATTTTAAGATTTGCTCATGCATTTTTTCTTTTCGAGTGTTGAATATCCAACATCTAAAATAATTTTGATATTAAGATGAAAAATACCTTTATGCATCAGAAAATTGCCAAACTTCATTTGTAAAACCTCTATAACCTCCTAATAAAATCCAGATAAATATCAAACGTTTTTGTTTAAAAATGTTTTATAATTTATCTGTTATTTTCTCTATCTTATCTCTTTTAGGGTTTGGTCGAATTGACCAACCTTGTAATCACCATAAAAAATTAGGAAATAAGATTCAAGTTATGCTTTTTTCATTGTAGGATGGCTATAATTTGTAACATGAAACCATAAATGTTTATTCCAAATAGCTTAAATCTTGTAACATTATATATCTATTTATATTTATTATTTGTATTTTATTGACCATTTAGCCATGTCCAACAAACATTACAGAAGTTGCAATCATGGCACACATTGATCTCATTTTACCGAATCCAATAACATAATACTGCTGTTTACAAAATGATCTGTCTTGGATTTGTTCTAGTGGACCAGTATTTTGTAAAATACAGTCACATTTTGGTTATAAAACATTACATATGTATGTATATCATTACTATTTACAAATAAATTTTTAAATTTCAGTTATTTTTCTTAAAACACAGAACAGTAAATAAAGAAAATAATGATCTCTACTTCTTACAACTGTAAAGAAGTTTGTACCTGCTTGTCATACCTTGCATGCTTAAGCCTTGCCAAATTTCACGTGGAGGATGCAAAACAAAATAACTTTTTTAGGTTATATATATGTGCATTTTGAAATAAAAAATTATAAATTACTCTATCAGTATCACAGAATTCCACTGTAATTTTTCAGGCTTACTAACTAAATTGTATTTGGGTCTAAGAAAATATTGTTTTTCGAACACCATTTTCTCCTACGCCTTTCTTCCGAGATTGGAAATAACTAAACTTGAGAAACACACACACCTTGAAAGGGCTGAGGTTTTGATTAGTTATAGATACATGATAGAGCAAATCGGGTGTATGAAAGCAAGTATTTCCAAAAACGGAAGAGGTGGGCAGGGCCACTTTATTTGATTTGCTAAATGTAGTCATATCTCAGTAAATAGAAAACATAGGAGGTTCTTATTTGATATTTTAACTTGTTAATATTGGTAATTTGAGTTTCTAATTTGCAAAATACTATAGACTTTGTATTTGGACATCAAAAGCATCTAATTTGAACCAAAGCTGCATTCAACATACCACATGACACACAAAAAATCAATATTTAGGAATTGCTTTTTTATATTTACTTTTAAATTAAGAAATTAACTAATGTATAATACTAATGTTTGAATTATAACCTACAATTTGATACCAAATTTATTGAAATACATTCATAAAATAGTAGTTCAATATAATTTTGAATGCAAGTCTACAAACGTGATGACATGCCCTTTGACCCCTGACCATAGGAGAACCTGTAGCGATAGGGTTACATAAAAAATATTTTGTGGAGCAACACCATTAGTATAAAAAGGTAGGTTAAAGTTTCACGAACAGTTGACAGCAAGAAAAAAAGACCGAGGTAAGTACTATATTTCTAGTTTTTCCTGTGTGTATTCTTTATTTGTTATTATAAAGGTAACTAAAATATAAAAATTACAAACTTATTAGGTTAAGATAAGGTTAGAGTAGGTAAGATAATGAAACGTAATAATAGTAATAAAAATTCTTCATGAGGTATGTTTGCGAGCAGGTCGTGCATTACATAATTCTATATGGTAACATGCGCTGGACATTTGCCGAGTGATTTACAACTTGTGTGGTGGGACTTTTAGTTAAACATGGTTCAAAAGTCAATAAAATTAAGTATAAGTAGATGAATATTGTTAAGAGCTTTAAGCTATTTAAGATAAACAATTGTATTTTCCTCTTAACGTCTGCAGTCATTCTAATTTTTCTAATATTTATGGTGGTTACAAGGTTGGTCAAATTGACTGACCTCATATAGAGCATTGATAGAGAAAATAACAGATAAAATATAAAGTTCTTCTGAAAAAAAAAAAACATTTGATATCTATTTAAGAGGTTTTAGAAATTATGCAAATGAAATTTGAAAATTTCCAGATAAAGAAAAGTATTTTTAATCTTAACAAGAAAATCACTTTGCACTCGGAGCAATCAACACTCTGACTCTATATGTTTAAAGACAAACTTTTAATAAAAATACGTAATTAAAAATTCTGATTTTTTTTGTCCACAAAAGACTTGTAATATTTACTAAAAGCTTGCCAGATTTTGTGAAGATACATTATGTACTTTCAGAATTATAGAGTGCACCATTTTATGGTTGCATGGTGTTTATAAAGTTGTATAAAATACACAAGCCCATTGTGAAAGGGTTAAGTGTAAAGGTTAAACTACTACATACACACAACAACAATTAAAGTATTCAATGAAACTAGTATCTGAAATAAAACCACACAGTACTCACCTAAGTAAGCATAAATATGGCTGAGAGCTCGTGCAGGTTGAACTTCAATTGGGGAAACTTCAAAAATTGTCTGGACATGGATGTCATGGCTGAGAAGTTTTTCTTGAATGATACTATCCTCTGCTAGGATAACAACTACACAAAAATAATTCATGCCATATGTAGATCAGTAGTTCACACTCTTTTGTTAAAAGGATGACTTTAAATCACAAAGAAAATACTTATACTAACACTGCTTTAACCACATTACCACAGGTATCCTTTTACTGCACATGACACAAGGTTTTAGTGTCTTACATTCAAAATTTTATTAAACTACTTTTTTTTTATGTTATACCAATTAGAATAGCATAAAATATTAGCTAATAATCCATATTTTAATAGTGTACAAGTTTTAAGTTCTTAATTCTACACGGCAATATTAAAAACATCCTAAATTTCCCATAGTGTGACACATGACACATTTTCTCTATGCACCTTGTCTCCTCTATTTTATCCCCCACCCCAAGGAAAAGTATGAAATTAAACGTAAATTACTCACTATAAAATCATCATTGCTTCAACAAACCATATTTTTTATAGTCTTAAATTTTGTTTGGTTACAGAGCTATCCAATAGAAAATCAACCCCCCCCCCACCACACCCTCTCTTTCAGGATTTGTTAATAGTTCTCTCTAACATTTAATTATATATTACCTATAACGAATAGAAAGCCAAGGTTTTCATCTATCAAATGATGTATTTTATAACATTGTGTTCTGAATGGTGAAATGTCAATTTTGCTCAGAGTACCAACATCGTTTGCATGAGAAAGTTAACGACTAGCTTGGATGAATTTGTAACAACTCTTGTCGCATAGTTAGAAAGCCAGAAAAATTTTGAGAGGTAAGGGAATTTGTCTACTTTTGGCATGTCATTAGTCTATATTGTTTAGAGCATTATTAAATACAAATTATTAAGTGCATTACCATCATTAGTATATAATAATTAGGGTTCACTCTCTTCAACAATTGACAGCAAGAATAAAGAAGATTGGTTTAGTATTTTATTTTTTGTTTTCCATGTTTATTCTTTAGGTATAATTATAAAAGTAACTAAACTGAGCCTGTGTTGAGAGCGAGTTAAGAACTTGTTTTTTGGCAATGAAGGTAATACAGCAAACATTATTTACTGAAAGAAAATGTATGAGGATTCTTTATGTTAACGGCTTTTATTTTCTAGTTTGTTTTACAAACTTCATCAGAAAAGTTATTTTGAAACTTAAATTTTTCTTTGCTAACACTCCTACAAATAAGTTTCTCTTGGAACTTTGTAATATTCAAAACTGCAGCAGCCTTGTTTAATAAATACAAGATATCAAACAAACCTTGAACAACCACATCAGGTTTTTTCTGGGAGCACAATCTTCTGTTCAGTGGGTCTAACTCACCTGGAGCCAAGAATCCCTGAAAATTTAAAAGAGTTATATATATTTAATGTTTTATTATCTAATATAATTCAAGGCTGGATGCTTGGATGCACAATAGTGGTGAATCTTTACACATAATTTTATCGACATAAAATAACTGATTTAAATCATAAACAAAATGGCATTATATTGCTAAAGTAAAATGGTGCATAATACAATCCTTAAAGATATTTCTTTCATTTCCATCTCCCTTGCACTTTAGCAAATGTGTACTGTAGGTGACTGGTAAAAGTCTAATAGATAAAGTGTAATACTCATATATTATCAATACCATTCATTCTTATAAAAGTATTTGATGAATAGATTTAGCATAAAAATATTCAGATGGCCAGTTGTACATTATTTTTATTAATGTTTTCTATATTTCAACACAACTAAAAAGTACATTAATCAGAACTTAAAGAAAAGATGGAAATAATAAATCTAAAAATTTTGCACAATTACATTACACAGTACAAAATATATGTGAGTTTACAATGTATCCACATCTTACTCTGAATTCATCACAAGTGGTTTAATCTTCAAATCAGCAGGCTAAGTATAGCTTAAAGAAATTAGATATCTTCACCGTTTTAATCATAGTATCACGAATGTATGCTAGGGCTCTACGTCATTTAATAACCTCGTTGTAAGAATATATTTCTTCAAAAAGGCTTTTTTTGTAACCCTCCAGTGATGACATTACTGTGTTGAATGGCAGGTAATTTATCAGGAACCAAATAAAAAGGTGCTAAACATGTTGCTCACAGTGCCATAACTTGCATCTACAGTACCACCACACTGCATTGACATATACAAATCATTCAAGTAAATAGTAATTAATACTCTACTGAGATATTATCATTTTCAATATTTAATGTGGCTTATACAAGGTGTAATGACTTTTTCCAGTGTTAGTACTTAATGTTGCTCACAAAATATGTAATGATAAGATTTCAGCAATGTCTATATCTAGTGTTGCTCATAATGTAATGATGACACTTTACTAATTTTAGTAATTACTGTTGCCTGCAGAGGGTGTAATGATGAGAACTCACCAATGGGGTTTTAGCACTGCTCATAAAGGGTAAAGAACAAACTTCACTAATATTAGTATGATGATCCTAACTCATAGAAAGAATTAGAGGAAGATATCACTAATTTCAGTATTTGGTATTGTCCACAGAGAATACAATGACAATATTTTATTAATTTTAGTATTAGGTGATGTTTAAAGATGGTGTAATAATGAGATTTTCCTAATGTTAGTACAATGTTAGGAAGTGTAATGATAAGACTTATGTTGATATTTAATGTTGTTCAACGAAGAAGTAATGATGCAACTTTACTAATGCAACTATTTTAGTATCACTCATTGAAGGTGCAGTGACAAACTTTCATAAAATAATATAATCTGGTGTTGTTTATATAAATAATAAGACTTTATCAATATTTGTAGTGTTGCTCACAAAAGGTGTAACGTTGAGACTTCACCAATATTAGCATTCAGTGGTGCTCATAAAAAATGTAATAACAAGTAAGTTTAATGGTGTTACTCATAGAGCAAATAACGAGTGATGATGAGACTTCACTAGTGATAGAGTTTTAAGTTGCTCACAAATAGGGTAATGATGAGATTATAATAATGTTCATATTTAGTACTGCTCCAAGAAAGTATATTGATGAATTTCCCCAATGTTCCTAATCAATGTTTTTGGACATTGGGTGTAACACATTATAGAAGCTTATTGAAATGTTTAGAAAAACACTGACATGAGTTATCACTATTAGGGCTAATAATACTATGCATAAGAAAAGTAGAGTATGGAACTTCTAGATTATGTGTAAGCTAGATCATAAACAGATAAATAAGTCTGTTAGTATGAATATTTATGAATGTCAAGTACAGGATTTGTACATTAATATAATAAAACAATTTTGTTAAAGTCAAATAATGTATTTCAGTGTAAATCAACCAAACATTAAAGTGTTTATTTTTTATATATTGAATACAAAGTTTAACCCACTTGTTTTTGGAGAAATCGGGTGACTTTGCTCTAAATAAAAAAATCTTCTAATAGTGGAAACACTGTAAACATAACTTCTAAGTAGACACAATCAACAATGTATAGAATGTATGAAATATTCAAATGGAAACCTACCTTTTTGATAAAATTAATAACATATAGATTGTGAATTATTCATATTCTTAAACACAGCTCTTAAATAAAGGGATCCACAATATAAGAATATAGCAAACATTTAAGATTCATAATAATGAGTTAGAAAGACAAAAATATATATTTATTTATGAGAACCCTTTCAAGTTAACCTACTTCTTGAACAAGACGACCAATGATGTACAAAGATTGGGCCCACATGAATGGAATTTGCCCAATCGGCACCCTGTCCTGACTGTGTGGTTGTCTGTATTCAAGCTCAACCTATATTGAAGTAAAAAATATTAATAATTGTTTAAGAATTTATAAGAACTCTCAACTTTATCAATATATCATGATAAAATTAAATGGAAAATTTGCTATATTAATCTATTACAAAGTTCACAAAAAATTAGTCAAATTATTTTCTTTGTAACTTTTTAAAAGTTTTATACTAACAAACAAAACATACTACTACTTCTACTTTTTCTACTTGTTGTAAGACATACAAGTTCTATATAATAATCAGAAGTGAACATATATAAGTTATTTTGTATTGACTGGGAATTTATTGGTTTAAAGTTATAGTGGAAAAATGTCCTAAGTGTACTTTTATTTTATTTTTTGGTGGTGTCTGTATCTATTATGGAATTTTACATAAATAAAATCAGTAACTAACAGAAAACACACAACCTTGTCAGCTGGAACAGTGTACAGCTCGGGCACAAATTTCAAGCCATTTTCACTTTTAATAAGAATTTCGTCTAAAGCTTCAGAATACTCCTCCACCTACAGTGGACACACACAGTGGTTATGAGAAAAAGGTTTAAGATATGCACACAATGAAGACTAATAATGTTGGCAGAATATTTAACTGTTTATCTTAGCTCCTTGATATGTCATCTTATTAATATAAGTAGATAACAACAATCGATCTATATCACATACTTAATGATGTGACCATTACAGAGAACAATGTACAAAATTAGTAACTGATATATTTATTATTGTTATTATTAATATATTTGAAGTATATCACAATTACAATTAAAGATACTGATAAGAAACATGGGTATGTTGTTGTCCCTGTGTAAGTTTTAATTGAACTGGATACTTTTATCACTCACAAAGCCTGAAGAAGACATTTGTATTTATAACTAAAAGTAGATAAATAAATGAATAAAATAAATATAAGACTTAGAAACATCGCTGTAGTTTGCCTTTTTAAGTTAACAGTATTTTTAATCTTACAACAAGAACTTTTGAATTACATTAGTAATAAATTGTTTAGTTACACTATGTTCTCAATATATAGAACATACTTATCATATCCATCAAGATATAGGTTATTTTTCTATCTCAAGTGGATTAACTTTTCTAGTAAGTAAACATGACAGACATTATTTGGGACACAAACTATTTCGCTCAATATTTATTTTATATATTTCCTTCCTCGTAACTTATATATAAAAAAAGGTAGTCCTAAGGGAAAAAAACCATAGTAACAATTGCTCAATCTTGTGCTATTTTCTTAACAGGAGACAATAACATTGAGTGTAATCTGATATTATTTTTAGTGTAATGTAAACATATAAAATTTTAGTTAGCTAGCAATATTTACTATTTCAGTAGTATAATACATATCTTGAAATATCAGTCTAATATTAACAACAAGTATAATAAAACAATAAGGCCAGATAAATAACAGAAGACTCACACTGAATAATGTGTTTAATGTTTTTCTCACAACTAGATAACCTAATAGATTACAAGGATTCAGGAACAGAAATGTATATTACTATTAATTAAATTAATTAATTAAATAGTCAACTTCAGTCTGCATTAATTATTGATATTTTTTCACACATTTATGATGAGAAGGTCTATGACACAAGTTATTTAAAACAAACAATATTAAGTCTCTTTACTTAGAGAAAATATTTTAAAAACGTTAACATGCACAATAAAGGTATTCATTATGTCAAATGGTATTTAAATATCTAAACTAATAAATACATAATCTTACAAAACAACTTACTGCTTCCCTGTCACCACGGAAACAGGCATCAATGATTAAATAACAGTAGAATAGTGGCCATTCACATTCAATTCCTTCAAATACCTTTAGTTCCCAAGGTTCATAATATAATCGACTTGGATCCTAAAATAAAAGAAGGTTTAACGAAACAATCAAGACTAGTACATCAGTTCTCGAGATAAGGGGAGTACCGGCATAATTTTTATCCAAATTTCAGCCATTTATGGCCTTAAAAAAATATTGAGAAATTGTTTTACAGCTGTGGAAAAACGAATACAGCTCCTGCTGTTTTAATAGTAGCACAATAATTAATGGGTGCATTCTTGTAGGTTTAGTCTTATCAGTATTTACAGAACTGTGAGCATAAAAATAAATTCATGCAGATGAATAATCAAGTGCAGTGCAAGATGGGTACAAGAAGTGTAAGATACTTCAACTTTGAAATTCGTAAAATATTTTCATTCAAGTATTATCATATTTCCCTAAACAAATTTTAGTACTTACTTTACCAGAAAAAAACTTGTGTAAAGTAATCTAATTGATTACGAGAACAAATATCACGAAAGTGCTCAAATTAATGAATGGAAAAAATATGAAACTTGCCTCTTTGGCTGTCTTGTGTCCATCCCTCAAAAACCTCTTACATCCATACCTTCCCTATTAACAAGTATTAAATATTGAAATATATATCTCAAATAGAGGACATGTCAAAAAATTTTGTCTTTTACAGAGATAGCATCATCTATTTATTCACTTAGATTAAAAGTCTGAAGGAAACTTCATTCAATTCAACACTACAAGCTCACATTACCTCTTAATTCTTAAACTATTTTCCCATTTGTTGATGCAGTCCATATCTTTTTGATGCATTAAATAATTCAAGATTATGAGTTTAATTAATACTCATGTAATAACTTACAGGTTGTAGCTAATGCATCTAATAAACCAAGTTACAACATTTTGTCAAAAGTGACATATAAATGAAACTGTAAGATCTAAATATGAAACAAGACACAGTTTTAAAGATTTGCATGTTACTTAAAAAAAAAGGAATAGTTTTTGTATCTATTCTTTGTGATGGAAATACACATTATATCATTTGCAACTATATAATTTCCTGAATTTGTAAAATTCCCTGAATAAAGCACTTTTACATGTTCAAGACCTTAATTTTTATCTTACTGTATGCTTAAAAACTTCTAAATGTAAACAAAAAAGTTTTTCTTTAATAGCATCAAATATTTTTCTACCTGCATTTGCTAAATAAATAGCATACCTGAAGAGCCCAAACCAACTGTTTTCAATTGTACTCATTTTTTAAACAAATTTATGCTATTTTGTGAAAATTATTATATCAAAAATATAATTTAGTAAAATAAAGGACATAAAATACAAGAAAACAACTACCCATAAACTAACATTACAACTATTTGCAATTCTTCCTTGTGATAAATAATTCTGCACATATACTAAAAAAATAAAAAGAGGTTAACTTTTATCAAATACCATACCATAAACAATAGTTAGTGAATGGAAATGGTATGACTAGTAAAACTGCTTGGTATTCTTAATGCTATCTGACTCTTCTTCAAGTTTTATTTTAAAGCAGATAATTAACTATAAAACAATATTTCATAAACATACCTCTGGCATCTTAACTTCTGTTCAAATACTATTAGTGAATATTCTAATTTTCATATAAATAATTATGTTGCTTTTCAACAAATGACATTTAAAATGATGTTTAATGGTAATCAGTTGAAACCGTCTTTGGAAATATATTTATGATTTAATTGTTCCTGAAACTTGACTATTAAAGGTGCAATGCACTGAAAGGCTAACACCAGTTTTATTTATTGCTTTAAATTGACATTCATCAGAAGTTTAAGTTTTTGGGTTTTGCAACATTTATTAGTTAATTAGTTTAAATTGTATCTCTGAATTGTAAAGCTTTACATTACTTTCTTCTTGTTTCAAATTATCTTAAATATTTTTCATTTTCTAATTTTAAGCTTCACTTGAGATATATTTCTGAAAGTACAGTGTTTTATCATTATTTTTGTTGAAATATAGATTCTCTTTTTGTGAAACTATAATTTTATCTTTAACATTTTTGTATCAGTACCATTTCTGCAATATAATTTTGTGAGGATTTCATGGTAGAAATTCTAATCTAGAATGAACCCTGACACAATTCTTATTTTTTTGTAAGACAAATCACTGACAAACTGAGAAAAGAAACTATCCATAAATATAAAAAAAATTCACAAAATTATTTTTTCTTTTTAACATTGAATGACATGCTTTCATTTATATAAATATACTTATAGACAACTTCAAATAGTTAAGTATAAAAAACATTACCACTTTTTATCTAAGTATTACTTCATACTGCATGACTTCACTATGATTTTCAGCACTTACTCAAGAGCTATGCTTGTGTTCTTGTATTATTATTACTACATATAACCATTAGAGCATTTGTTTTGGAAAATTACGTAAAATCGACAGTTTTCTTTGTTAACTAAACAAAATAAAAAACGAAAACATCCAATACGAAACAAAATATCCAGTTGGATTTATCCTAAAGCATTCTTTTCACTTCAACCATATTTTTATTTCAAACACATATTCAAACCTCACATACATATCTTGTAGTACAATCCAAACACAAACAACTTGAAAAAAAGAGTACTAAATGCTAAAAAAATTTGCAAGGCTGTAGTAGATTGGGGAAGAATACAAAAATTTCTGATTCAACAACATCTAATGACAAGGCCATCTGCAGACACCTCTGAAAAATACATGGTTTAACCCTTTCCTTATCTGAAAACATCAGTTTGATGCATTTGATATTCTATGTTCACAAACCAAAACTACAGAATCTAGCTGCATGACACTTGATTCACACTTTCTAAACAAAATTAGGTTTCTCTGTAAGAAATGGGAAAAGCAGATAATTTGTTTAATAATTTTTAGTTCCTTAAATTCTGTGAAAAACTGATTTCATAAAAAATGAATAGCAAAAAAAAGTCTTTAGGCTTAGACTTCCTTTTTCTATGTTGTTTGCCTAAAACTTTATAAATGCACCCAATACTTTTTTAAATAAAATTACAAATGTTCTGTTCATTAATATGTTAGTATTATAGAATACATAATTTTCTTGTCTGCACATGTAAAACAAAAATAACTTAAAAATTAAAGAAGGAAGAAAAAATGTAATTTGTACATTATTAACCAGAGACATGCATTTCATGTATCTATCAGTCTTTACTGTTTTCTTAATAATCAATATATTTTTATTTTTCTCTACCTTTGAGATAGTTATGTAGCTTTTAAAAATTATATATTATATGATAAATACTTGTTTGAAGTAGTATGCCTAAATGTATACCTCTTACACTGTCACCTATATCCTAAGGTTTAAGATATATTTTACTCAAAATATGCTATGGATCACTCTTTCTCAAAACTAACAAATACCCAATGTTGATTTTTTTAAACATATAAAAGAGTATGGGAAGCAGTAGGCTTTCATTCCAAATGATTAATGAATAGTTTTCATTCTCGATATTTATCTCATTTCATAAAGGTTTTTTTTGCCAAATGGGATGTTCTTTGCCATGTGATTTATTTTTGCATTGCTTTTATGTTCTAACACTAACATTTTTCACCATCATGGTCCAATTATGTGTCACAAGTTACAAAGGTTTGGGGGAATGTTAATGTAGTCTTGGTTTCCTACTACATGAAGTGTCTAAATATTGTGTTGCTACTTCATTGGATATGGGTCAAAATGCTTGGATGCATCAAAGAATTCATGAAGATGAAAAGAAATTGCAAGGAAGTAGTTAGAAGAACAACAAACCCTAGTCCAAGCTACTTTCTGACAATACATGCTTACCAAACTCCTTTTCACATAGCACAAAAACTCTTTTGTGACCTCCAAAATGCACCTTACATTTTTTTATTGACCCAGATTGTCTATAATAGACACAAAGAGGTTAGCATGTGATCGAAAATAAAACTGTATAAGAACCCTACTGACCCACCATTACAGTAAAACAGTCCAGATTGGGCTCAAGACTACACGACTTGATCTATCCAAGGTTAGGCCTCAGTACAATCATGGATAAGTCAAGGGTTTACCAGTCTGGAAACAACCTTCGAAGACAATGCTAAAATAGTTGAACATGATCATTAGGGTTGAGGGTCCATTAAAGTAGGCAACATGCTGTTTTGGCCTCCTCTGTTCAGCCTGTGAGGCTCCAGGAGTTGGAGAATGCCATTATAGAGAATTTGGACCACTTGCTACACATCATTATTCAGAGGCCCATCTGGAGCATGCAGAGATGATTCCAGGTAGTGGTATGTACTTTTGAGGGAGACATTAACTATTCACAATATTTTAATTTCTTGTTTTATGATTAATTTAAAAATTTGTCCACATACCTAAAATGTTCCATTTGGAGGGGTTTCCTTTTTTCCATATTAAGACATGCTAGGAAATGGAATAAAGTTTATGTCTGTTTGAGAGTATGTAAAGGAAATAAAGTATGTAACTATCAGTGGGCTACTAATCATCTGTTACTTGCTATACTCATTTTGAAAAGTGATCCCTAACAAAGTTTGAGAAATATATTTAACCCTATTACCACAGGTCAAAGGCCATGTCACCGCATTTGTTGACTTGCATTCAAAGTTTTATTGAACTACTATTTTATGAATTTAAGTCAACAAGTTTGGTATCAAATTGTAGATTATAATTCAAATTTTAGTATTATATACAAGTTAATTTCTTAATTTAAAAGTAAATATTAAAAGAACACACCTAAATATAAATTTTTGTGTGTC